CAAGGTTCTTCCTCTTCTCTCTCACAAAGTGCTCACTGGTTTTTTAGGGTTCTCTCTGGGGTTGGTGGCCGCAAATGACGGCCATAAACCCCCTTAAATAGGTCTCATACCCCGAAAATTAGGGTTTCATTAAACAGCGTGGACTCGCCGAGTCCACTCCTTGGGCTCGCCGAGTCCAGACACGAACCCGCATCCAAAATCACGATCCTACTCGGCGAGTTTGAGCTCCAACTCACCGAGTCCAATCACAATTCTCCAAAAATACAAATAATAATAAATACCTGGAAATCCGGGCTGTTACATTGGCCGGAGGTTCGGCCTCTAATGCTTGGAACCGAGAATAGAAGAGATAGACCGAGAGGAGGGGAAGGGACCGAGAGTAGAAGAGAAGACCGAAAGTGCAGAAGAGGGAACCGAGAGCAAGGCTCGGTCTCGGTGGCTTGTGCGAGGTTCGGGCCCGAGAGGCTTCTAAGGTTCGGTTTCAATTCTAGCTGGGAAGCGAGGCTCAGGTTCGGTTCAGCTGCCTTCGGGTTCAGTTCTGTCCTTCGCTTCTGACCTTCGCTTCTGATGCCTTCGGTTCCTAAGAGGGGTTTCGGGTCCTTAGGAGGGTTGGGCTCCTTGAGAGGGGTTTCGGGTCCTTAAGCCTATTTTACTTGTTCTTACCCCGTTTTAAGCCGTTTTTGACCCGGTTAAGGGTCGGGATGGCCCCAAAGACTATAAAAAGTTTAAGGAACTCTTGAGAGAGTTTTGGGAGAGATTTCACATTCTTGGAGAGATTTCTCATACAAGGAGAGATTTGGGAGAGATTTCACATACTTAGAGGGGTTTCACATACAAAGAGAGATTTGGGAGAGATTTCACATTATTGGAGAGATTTCTCATACAAGGAGAGATTTGGGAGAGATTTGACATGTTTGGAGAGATTTGGGAGAGATTCTAGATAAAGAGAGATAGAGTGAAAACGATTGAGAGAGGTTTCATGTGTGGCATTTGTGAGTGTATGGCTTCGCAATGCAAGGTTCGTAAACCCTGTTAAGCCTTGTTTAAGGATCTCACACACTCCCGATGAGTATCCAACATTGTTTTTTCGGTTTGGTTTGTTACTTACCGTAGTTTTAGGTTAAGGAAGTCTAGATGTATGTACTTTTTGATTTATGATCTCTCATTAGAATAGCGAGTTGTTTAGAAATTACATAATGTAAACTCTAGTACACCAGGGTTAGTTGAGTTGACCGGTTTGACATTGAATTGACCAGAATTTGATGGTTGTCACAGAGTATGACACGACTAGTGTTTAGAAAAGCATAGTGTACATGCTTGGAGCATGGGACAACTATTGTTTTAATTCAAGTATAAAGTTGATAGTTTGAAACAATATGCAATGAATAATGGGTAATCAATATGGTGATAAATAAAAGGTGTTTTATTTATATTCATAAGTTCTGAGACCATATTGAATTCGATTATTCTTGTGTTTCACCTTGCATGTTTTGACTTTCAGAATAACTAAATCACTCTTCCTAAATGACTAAGTTATTTAAACCATCCACAGTCAGTCATATGTTGGAAGTATATATGAATCAAGATTGTCATGGGTTGGATTGTAGAGGTCTAAGATGTTGGACAAAATGGTACTACAACACTCATGAGTGCTCGTAAGTTTTGTGTATTGGATTCAACCCACGCTCACTGGTATCACTTCATGGAATTTATCTCGAGTGATCGTGAGACGGTAATATCATATAAGTCTTCAAACCTAGAGATATAACTTGTTGCCTATGAGTTGGTTATACATTGATCGTACGAAACCGCATTTTTAACCTGATGTTATAAAACATGACTTTGTATATGATTCAACAAGTAGAAGAACAAGCATATGAGTCGAAGTTTATATGTTCCTTCTTGGATTAGAAGCAATATCTAGGCCCTTCAATGATTTTGTGTTGACCCATGTACCGGGCCTGGTCAGAACTAAGTTGATCTGTTCACTTAAGTTCTATGTCAAACAAATCGAAAATCGGGAAACAAACTGTTGGACAATAAGTAAGACATTGTTCTATGTATTTGTCCGGCTGATATCTAGAATAGAGAATTATATGATCACTTATCTTAAATGGAATATCATCGTCATCTCAGTTCCGCAAAGACCTTGAAAGAGCTACGATTGCTGATCGGTTCCTGAAGTTATTCTTGCAGATATAATTATTAGACTTATCCAAGTGGGAGACTGTTGGATTAGGTTTCTAAGTTCATAACTATTCTGGGATGTACTTGACCCGATCAACATGGTCCATTTGGGTTGCATGACATCATGCATTTGGATAAACTAAAATGAGAGAAATAACACTTATGGTTTATTAATATATTATAAGTTCTAAAATATTAATAATAATATTATTTAATTATTATTGATCAAGAATTAATTAAGTGATCAAAAGGAGACTAATTAAATATATGGTTTGATTGTGTAAATCATCCATACTTATATAGTGGGCTAGATGCTCTATGGATTATCAAGTTGAGCTAAGGTCATAAGATGCTCCATGGGAGTTACAAACCCATGGGTCATGGAAATGAAGAATCATGTCACATTAGGGTTTACATGATGTAACCCTAATTGTAACACACTATATAAAGGATATGAAGGTAATAAGGAGAAAAAGAATATATATATATATATATATATATATATATATATATATATATATATATATATATATATATATAGGTTAAAAACTTAAGATGGTCTTTGGGCCTTTATTGATCATTTTTATTTGAAGTTCAAATGGTAAAACTTTGAAGTTTTTATATTCATTAATATTAGAACTAGCTGAAAAATCCGGACTTCGTCCCAGGTTGTTTTTTGTGTTTTTTATGAATAAGTGTAAAAGTTTTGACTGTAAGGACTAAAAGTGTTAAAATGGATAAAAAATTAAAGAGGTTGTAATTAGCAAATTTTTAGAAAAGGGACCAAAGTTGTCAATTCCTTAAAGTTTTGTGGCCAAACTTTGAATATTAAAACGTTTCTAAAAAACGTAAAATGTTTTTATTCAAACTAGAAAGGTTATCCCCGCTATACGGGGGTCAGAAGCTTTCAATGTTGTTTCCGAATCGATAAATACGACAGACGTAGAAAGTGCAAGAATGACAAGCCCGGACTTTGCCCCGGACCGTTTTGTTCATGTTTTTATGAAAAAATGTAAAAGTTTTGATTGCAAGGACCAGAAGTGTCAAAATGGCTAAACAATTAAAGCGGTAGGAATTAGCAAGTTTTTAGAAAAGGGATCAAAGTTGTCGAACCGTTAAAGTTTTGTGGTCAAACTTCAAATATTAAAAGGTCCCTAAATAGAAAATGGATCAAAGTTGTCAAACCGTTAAAGTTTTGTGGTCAAACTTTAAATATTAAAAGGTTTCTAAAAAATAAAAAAAAAATATCGACTATAAGGACCAAAAGTGTCAAAATGACTAAAAAATGAGGACCAAAGTTGTCAAACCGTTAAAGTTTTGTGACCAACCTTTAAATATTAAAATGTTCGTAAATAGAAAATGATTCAAAGTTGTCAAACCGTTAAAGTTTTGTGGCCAAACTTTAAATATTAAAAGGTTCCTAAAAAATGTAAAAGTATCGATTACAATGACCAAAAGTGTCAAATGGCTAAAAAATGAGGATCAAAGTTGTCAAACCGTTAAAGTTTTATGGCCAAACTTTAAATATTAAAAGGTTCCTAAAAAATATAAAAATATCGATTACAAGGAACAAAAGTGTCAAAATGATTAATTCTGCCAAAAAAACATAAAGTCTAGGGACTAAAATAAACAAAAATTATGGAAGTTTACTATTCATAAGAAACATTTTCCATAATATATATAATAATGACCTAAATTGTGAAAATAGCTAAAAAATGAGGGGCAAAAATGGCTAAAAACCCAGGCTTTTCCCTTGGCCGTTTTTTGTGTTTTTTATAAAAAAATGTAAAAGTTTTAATTGTAAGGACCAAAAATGTCAAAATGGCTAAAAAATTAAAGGAATTGGAATTAACAAGTGTTTAGAAAATGGACCAAAGTTGTTAGTTCCTTAAAGTTTTGTAGCTAAACTTTGAATATTAAAATGTTCTTAAAAAATTAAAAATTTTGATTGAAATGATCAAAAGTATCAAAATGGTTAAAGGGGCAAAGTTGACAAAAAAAAACATGCAATTTTTATCAATTCACAAGTGAACAAAGTTTTAATAAAATTACTTTTAATAGTTTCTAAAATAATTATATTTTATCTCTTAAGTTTTAAAATATAATACTTGTCTTTACATCAAGTTTTGTTTTGGAAGTTTTTCAAGATGATAATTTTTTGAGATAGATAATTATGCCTACTATGAGAAAAAAAAAGTTTACTAAATAGGATCTTATGATCTCGATTCGATTTTATGATTGTGATTTTAGAAAAATAAAAATAATCCTAAATAAAATCTCGATCTAAACAACATTGGGTCCAATAACAAAGAAACACGGTGCACCAAATTTTAGTCCCGACTCGATTTGATCCGAATCAAACCCATTTGCTAGGTCTATGTTATTATTTGATCGAAAAAAAATTGGTCCCACTACTGTTACATATACATGCGTCCGCCCTTAATTGTACGTAGGTTTTAATTCAAGATTGTTAGCGTATATAAGATGAATAATAGAAGAGTATGGTAATGTGGAAAACCAAAAAGTTAAATGTGATGACATAATATTTGTTTTACGTTATAACATTATTATTAGGAATGATGTTTGTAGATAAAAAAAAAAACAATAGCAGGGAAAAGTTACAAAAATATCAAAAAGAATATTAATAAGGAATAAGTAACACTAATATAAAAGCAAAAAATTAAAAAAAAATATCTACAATTTTAAAACCTACACTTATTTAGTAAATACTTTTCAAACTACATGTCAAAAACTCCTTTGGAAAAGGACTACAAGTCAAAAGACAAAAGCACTAAAGGAGTACAGCTTATCACAAAAGACCCTACACAAGTTGATTTCCCATAGATCTTCTTTACCCTTTTAAGTCGAACCAACAATAATGGAAGCTACTGTTAGCAGGAAGATTTTAGCTGCAAGGAAATCCAAACCCAGTTCTTCTTCTGTTCTTCAAAAAGGTCTGCGAATCGTTTTCTTCCACTCTTTTACTCATCTTCGGATATATATATTTTCTTCATAATTCAAAGACCTTCGGATGTAAATATTTGATTCTTTGTGTTATTTGTTTCGGAGTAATTTCTAGTCAGATGAATTGTTTGTGTCATTGCAATTCTTTCCCCTGATTTCAAAATGATGAATGTGAACCTTTTTCTTAATTTATTTAAAAAAAAACTGTTTTTGTTAGGATTCCAGTCACTAGACATTGAATTGGAGTTTTAAAATACAGATAGTCGTGAACATAATAAAAAAAATATATATTTACTATGATTTGTAAGTATGCATATTATATAAATTATAACAAATAGAGATGAAACGAATATAGTATTTGATCCCCTATTCACGATTAAAACAGTGGTTTGGGATTTAAATAACGAACTGAGAAGTATTTTGCTGCTGCCTCATGTTAAAGAACCAACATTATTAGCTTAGGCGATGATAATTGTAAACCCATAAAAGACTTATCTTTTTCTCAGGTTTAGATAAAAGGCATATCTTTACAACTGATCTTCAATTAATATAATATATCCACAAATGCTTTTGAAAAATTAAATAATTGACTGTGATCTTTTTGAATGTTTTATAATGCTTCATATTCTAATTTAAGTGCAAGTTTAAAAAAAATGAAATAGCAGTTGACGCTAACATTATAAATAAAAATATTTTAGGATGCTATATATTTGAGAACATATGTCTAAAATAGGACAATAACTATCTTGCTTTTTTCTTGTTTAAAAAAAATGTATAAAGGTGATAGATATAATTATCAACTATATAGTTCTGCAAATAAATGACGGTTAGAATATTCAATATATTTATATGATCAACATATATTTTATTCATTGATTTCTTGACAAATGTATTCAAAAGTTCTAATGATCAAGTAAAGATTTTGATTTCTATGCGTTCATTCAATACCAATATTATATTTATGAGCTTCAAAATTAATGTAAAGTCAGCTTAAAAAGTGAACTTACATTGCAATTTCAAACTTGAACTACATGCCCTTTAACACTCTTTTAATTAATTTTACATCTTCTTGATTAAATATCACTCTAGGGATTTGCAAGAATTTACAACACTGCCCTCTTTATGGGGTTCTTGACAAGGGCATTTCAGTCATTTCGTCCACCCCCTCCGAAAATATGCGGATCTCAAGATGGTCCTCCGATAACATCACCAAGAATAAAGCTTCGTGATGGAAGGCATTTGTCATATATGGAACACGGTGTCCCAAAAGAAACAGCCAAGTTTAAAATAATATACATCCATGGTTTTGACAATTGCAAAGAAATTAATATTTTTGCCTTGGGAGCCTCTCCGGTGTGTATCCATATTTTCATCATTTAAGCCAATCATTTTTTTTATGTTTACTTCAAACTTAAGGTTGTTTGATAAAATCATAAAACTAAAACATTTAGTTTTAAATGATTCCAACCTCTGAACGGTTAAGAAACAACGAAGTTTCTTAACTGTTCAGACTGAATACCGACGTATTCAGTTGTGACCTATGAATGGTTTCATTCATAGGTTATCAAACAGCCAGTTAGTTTTCTAATTCTAACCGGTTGGTTGACTTTTACAGGCTCTAATTGAAGAGTTAGGGGTGTATACTGTTTCATTCGACCGACCTGGTTACGGAGAGAGTGATCCGCACCCTGAGAGAACTTTAAAGAGTTTAGCTTTGGATATAGAGGAGCTCGCTGATCAACTACAACTCGGATCCAAATTCTATTTAGCTGGATTATCCATGGGTGGATTATTGGTTTGGCCATGTCTTAAGTACATTCCTCACAGGTGTAAATCAAAATTTTGATTATTTGTTGCTTGAGATAATTTGGTTCTAATTTTGTTAGTTTTGTATGTGTGATTGAAATAGGCTAGCAGGAGTGGTTTTCATTTCACCTGGAGTTAATTACTGGTGGCCTTCATTTCCTTCAAAGTTATGTAATGAAGTGTATTATGAAATGTTTAAGCCTGATCAATGGGCTTTAAGAGTTGTTCACCACCTTCCATGGCTGAACTACTGGTGGAATACTCAACAATGGTTTCCTAGCTCGTCTCTTATTTCTAGGTCTCTTGATATGTTTTCTCCCCCTGACATGGAAATTGTGTCAAAGTTTCCTCCTCAACCAGAAGAGCAAAAGGTACACTGTATAATTTTAATCATATTTGTATGAGTATCAACACACTAATAGAATATGAGATAGGATTTGTGTGCTAGCCCTTCAACATCTCAAAACATACATAACTAAGAAAATATAATTTTTTTTTCCCTTAGTAAAGTTTCATGTGTAATCAAATTTGAATTTACACCTCTTTTAATCTAGTGCCCACGAAGTAAACCTCTATTCTTTTAACACTTCTAGTTTTTCATGCTTATATTAACTGTTAACAGGTATACATAATTTTACAAAGTAAATTACATGAATGGTCCTTATGGTTTGGGGTAATTTTCATGTTTGGTCCCTAACTTGTTTTTTTAACTCGGAAGGTTCCTACAGTTTGTTTTTGTTGCATGCTTGGTCCCTATCTTACCTAAAAAGATTATTTTGCCCATGATTTTTAAATTTATATAAATAAGGTGTGATAGGTAAGGTAAGGTAAGGTAAGATAAGGTGAAGAGGAAGTGGGGTTGGAGTTGTGTTTATTTAAATAAATTAAAAAATCAAGGGCAAAATAGTTTTTTTAGGTCAGACAGGACCAGATGCGCAACAAAAACAAGCAGTAGGGACTTTTCAAGTTAAAAAGTAAGTTAGGGACCAAACGTTCAAATTACCCCAAACCATAAGGAGTATTCGTGTAGTTTAGTCTAATTTTACATATTGAATCCATCTATTAAAAAATAAAAGTATCTTTACGCGGGTGGAGTAAAGAATGTTCCATATGCATCAATATGTATGAGGCCTACGCCTAAAATTTAACTACCGCTCTCACCTTTTCCAACAAAAAATGTTAGTGTCATATTTGTTAATAAATGTTATTTACATGTCTAATAGGATTCAAAGTATCTATAATCAAATGAGTCTTAATAGTTCATCCTTATGGAGTTTATAATTGTGTCTAAGAATTATGTGGTCTACTTGAAAATGAAACATGTAAATTTGATTCATATCATTTTTATTTCATTTGGCATTCAAATTATCAATAAACTATCATTCACATTCTCAAGGTCTAAAAGTTAGATATTTTTATGTGAAACATCATTTGCATAAACAATTCTTTGTGGATAAATGGTAATAGTTTTGAAGCTATCTATATATTTAAAATTATTGTTAACAAGTGCATAAGAGTTGATACTTGGGCTCATAGGATGGACATAAAAACAATTTTTCAAAAAACAATACTATCATAAGAAAAAAAGTGACTTTGTATTGTCTTTAAGCTATGACTGTGGTTACATTTTTGAAGTACTAGATGCAAGAAATGGCAATATACTTTATTTTTAGGTATATTATAGCATCCTACCTTCATTTGTTTTTATTACTATATTGTATTTCATTTTTTTTTCTATTTAAGGCATTCTCTTTTGAAAATCAACCTAATTGTAGATTTCTATCTCCATATTTTTCATTTAGACATTATAGATTAAAGAAAAGGTAATAATTAATTATAGGAGTGAAAATTTCTTTGTATTTGGATGATTTCCTTTAAGTAGGTAGAATCATTAAAGATGCAATGTTGCAATAGAAAAATGAAAGTAATATGCTATAATAAAAAATTAATGGAAGTGTTTCTATGTTTTGTATTAACCCTTTTATTAATAAAAAAAATTATAAATAGACAATATGTAGTTACAAAACTACCTAATTATAGCGTTATACTTTCTTTCCTTCTCTTGTTAGAACATTAAACATTGAAAGAACATACCCAAATTATAGTAGTGAAAGATTCTTGCATTTATTTAGATGAAATTGATATGATTTATAGATTTTTCAAAATATAATGTTGCATTTTTTAGTTGTTAACATTCACTTTATTCAACCATATCAATCAACTAATTTGATTTTTGACATTCGTCGACCACTTAGACTTTTCAATGATAAACTTGTTCCTGTTTTGACTCGAGTTGCAATATATCTCAAAAACAAAACCCCAAGTGTACACAACAAGTAAAACATAAAAAGATGCATAATTTACTAATAAAAACCACACGAATAATAGTTAACTACATGAATAGAGTATTCGATAAAATGCACCTGTCACTATGATATAAAGAATGAAACCATGATGCCATTTTCCATAAATCAATAAAACTACATTTTTATTTCTCGTATTTAACCCTTTTATTTTTTTGAAAGAATGTAAAAAGTAAAAACACTTCGAGATAATGCCTCTAGATTGGAAACTAGACCAATACTCATGTTTAGAACTAGGTGTATCTATTAATTAGTCCTTTTTATATTGTGGATAAAAAAAGACCCATATAATTTTTTTTTTTTTATTAAAAGTAAAGTTTGGGTCAACTAAGTCCATTAACTTATATAAAAAAACATCTCAAACAGTCGGACTTATGTTACACTTTTGCGTGTTAAAGATGCAGCCAAGAAAACAAGGAGATTTCGAGTCTGTCCACCGTGATTTAATAGTTGGAATGGGGAAATGGGAATTTGATCCAATGGAACTCGAGAATCCATTTCCAAATAATGAAGGATCTGTTCACTTATGGATGGGTGATCAAGATCGATTTGTACCTGTGAAACTACAACGTTATATTGCTAAGAAACTCCCATGGATTAACTACCATGAGATCACAGGTGGTGGCCATTTGTTTTCCGCCATTGATGGAATGACTGACACCATTCTAACAACACTTCTAAATGTGAAAGATTAGTTAATCTTTTTTTGTTGTATTTTCTGATATTGAATTTGATTTGTGTGTTTATTTATGCACTTTGTAACTATATGTTTTTTCAATAATTATTGTGGTGGTGATTGTTCTTTCATGGTAGGATCAAAGAATCCGACAATAATACGATTTGGTTTGCGAATTTAAAATTGCTTTCAATGAGGTGGTTTGAATTTCGGACACGCTTATTCTTGTTAGAAAGGAAGAAATAAAGATAACAACAGGTATGAGATCATGTACATATAAGTGGTCTTGTTATAGAGTGCCTGAAATATAGAAGATAAATTATTACTAATAATTCTAATTGGTAAGGTGGTAAGGCTTGGATGTACATGATCTATAAATGGCATCTCTTTGACTAACAATCATTTTTTTTAAACTTCTAATAGTCTCAACCCCTTCATCTATATCATTACAACTTACACAAGTTGTGATATTAATGTAGAGCTACGAAATTGGATCATGTGCATGCAATAGTGATCCAGCATGATTTTATAGAAATGGGGCGATTTAACACTCATATACGTGGTGATTTATCAAGTGTACTTTATAATTAGATAGATTAAATCGCTTAAATACAAGGTGTGGTTATTTATGTCATCAAGAAATCCAATTACACTAGAAAATTGAGTATCGACTATGGATTTAGCGGAAGATGCTTACAAATCAATGACTCGTAATTGATAGATCAATGACCATTAAATTTTATTTTTATTTTTTAAATTTAGAGTTATCATAGCTATAGATTAGAGATGGATCAACAATGATAAAATAACGTCCCTAAAATAGCGCTAGAGTGGGGATGGATTAACATAATGTAACGTCCCTAAAATGTTGAGTAAAAATTTCATTTTAAATACGCTAAAGCCATTCATTCATTGTTCCAAAAGACGATCAGAGTCAAAGTATTCTCAAAACAACAGAGTAATTTCTATACATTCAGTGCGGAATAAAACTACAGAGATGCAGTGTGATCAAGCAAGACCATTTCTTTTAGAAACGAAAATATCCGAAACCATAAACATAAACTATAATCACAAAGTTTAGTGAGTTACTCAAAGTACCACATACAACACATATATACAAATATAACAAGTGGCTGTGTCGGGTCCGTATAAACCCCGAGTCCATAATGACTTCATGTAACAACATGTAGCTGTGTCGGGTCTGTATCAACCCTTGAGTCCATATCAACCCCGAGTCCATAATGATTCTGAGCCTAGATTAGCTCTATGCGTATAATATATAATCATACCAGTAATAGTCATAAAGACAGTAAGCACATACAACAATATCAGTAGTGCCACAAAGACCACTACTATCCCACAACATAATCCAATGGGTCGACATTAGTGCCTTCGACCCATAAGAATGGTGAGGAGACTCACCTCATAGTCTGAAAGAATAATTGTACCAATCGTTGCTCCAAAAGCTATCTCTACTGGTTACCTATACAATTAACAGGGACCTAAATCTCAAACGACTACTCAAATTACCCAAAATGCCCTTAGGTCAAACTTGGTCAAATTCCTGGTGAAAGTCAAAAAGTCAAAAAGTCAGAGAAGGTCAACACAGACTGAGTATGCCCAGCATACTTAGTCATTAAACTCAATGTAGTAGATCCCATGCTGATTATAGGTCTCCAGCCTGGTACGCTCAACGTACTAACAGGTAAGCCAACGTACTTGACCAATTCCATTTTCCTCATTAAGTGCTTATTTCATTAAGATCCTATGTCCAAAGCTCCAATCTACTCCCAAATAACATTCTAAGTCATAAATTTTCTAACTTTATGACTTTCCATGGCTAGAAGGAGTCCATATACCAAAATCCTAACTTAATACATAAACCAAAGCATCATGGCTCTTGCATGGAGGGAGGAAATGGACCAAGATCACATTTTTATGACTCCTAATGACTCCATAATGGATAAAGTTTCCAAATTTATCCATTAGGATGGTCTGAACAACCAAGATCTAGACTTTAAGTCTCAAAGGGACCAAAAATGCATATTTCTCAACTTAATCCATTAAGTCCATATCTCCAACCTTCATATCTGAATCGATATGATGTTTAGATGGATAAAGTTTCCCACTTTATCCAAAACAAGGTCACAAAATTTCAAAATCTAAACTTATGCACTAAAGTAACCGAAAAGCTCATAAAACCCAAAACTACCTAGATCTAAAAAATACATCATCAAGATTCAAGCTTTATATCTTATGGAGTTGAGAAGAGCAATGTAGGCTCTGGATCCACAAGCTTGAGCTTCAACAATCAACAAGCTTGAAATTCTATTTCATCCAAAATGCAAACAAAACACATAAAAAGGCTCAAGATTTGATCTACGAGGATCTGATTTCGAGTTGGAGGCTCAATAAGGTGGATGCTGATGTTTGGAAGGATCACAAGGGGTTAGAGTCCTTAAATAGGGCTCAAAACCATGAAAATAGGGTTTTTACTCTGCGGCGGTACGCCCATCGTACTTAAAGTTAAGCCCAACATAACGACCTAAAAACACACCCCTTTAGCTTAGTACATCCAACATACTAGCTAGTGTACACCAAGTGTACTGCCAAACTCCCTTTTGCCAGTTTAACTTCAAACAGTCATAACTTCTTCGTTTTAACTCCGTTTTCGATGATCTTTATATCCACAGGAATGTATCGATGAGCTCTACAATTCTATCTTGATACTTGTTACTAAAACATCTCAATCTAAAATCCTTAATTTATGCAATAAGCCCAAAACATAACCTTCCCAAGTTTACACTTCAGCTTTCATCGAACAATAGAAGGTTTAAATCACTTGTCCAACATCATACACCTCCAATAGAGTTTAAACTTCATTCCATTGAAGCCCAATGCCTCTATTTATGTAACGCTTGGTTCATGTATTATTTATTTCTCAATATTTTAGAGTTTTGGGCTGGAACTCGACGAGTTGGGAAGCTCCAAATCGTCTTGTAGAGATTCACTTGGATGCGGGATAAGGATTCAACTCGATGAGTTGGGGAGCCCGAACTCGACGAGTAGACTATGGAAAGGAAAGCCCTAATTTTTAGGGTTTGTACCCTATTTAAAGGCCTTAAACCTCATTGTTAGCCTCCCTCATCGCTGCTTTGTCCAGAGAAACCCTAGTTCGTGCTTTTCCTACCATTTTGAGTGTGTGAGAGCTTAACAAGTGCATTTGAAGAAGGCTTGAAGTAGGAGGTGCATAGCTAAAAGGAGAGGCTGTAGATCCGATGTCTTTGCTGTTGTGGCAGCCATATTGAGGTAAAAAGTTGATACCTAGGTCACTTATTTATTAGATCTCTTCATGTGGGAATTTATGGTCATTATTAGCTCATTTTGGGACCATTCTTGGATTTGATCATGTCATGAAGCTATGTGTAACACCGTAAATTTCAAGACAAATTTTTCATTTAAAATAATCATTTTATTCTTAGAAACACTTGTTTAAAATCTCATTCATAGTCGATTTACAAAACATGACTCCATTTTCACTTGCATAGAAAACCAGGATCCTCCAAAATATGACTCTTTCTCTGGTGTGTACAATCAAGCCGGTGCCGTCCCGTGATACTGAAAGAAACCTGAAAAAACATCACACAAAACACTGTAAGCACGAAGCTTAGTGAGTTCCCCAAAATACCACACATAACACATATTAGCCACTCGAGGCTATAACTCTATGGGTCCGTGCACCCAAACTCTGTGAACCCTCAGGCTCTAACTCTGGGAACCTTCCGGTTCCAACTCTATAAACATGCACAACATAAATCACATAGAAATAATGCAGTACAACACATCACGTACATATAGCATACAAATACTCTGAACACATAACTCTGGTTACCTACTCAAGGTAAAGTATAGTGAGAAGACTCACCTGGCAAGCAGAAAGCAGATATCCCCACACTGGAATCTCAAACTCGCCACCGCCTAACACGTAAAGCAAATATTCTCATGAATATAACTCTCGAGACTAGAATAAATCCTCTCATAACACCCTCTCATGGGTAAAAGACTAGTTTACCTCTCTCTTGGCCCAAAGGCCACATCGCTGACCAAACCCTAAAAGTCAACGACCAACCCTTGGTCGAAATCAAAGTCCTCAGTCTAAGTCAACCCCTGACTGACCCTACTCGTCGAGTCAACTCTGTGACTCGTTGAGTTCCCATAATCAGAACTTCATTCAATCTGCGACCTAACTCGCCGAGTCACCCCAAGACTCGCCGAGTCCAACAACTCTGAGTCCACTCGCACTCGACTCACCGAGTCATCCCTCAACTCACCGATTCTCGACTCTACCAGAGAATATTTGGGACTCTTCGACAAGACTCGCCGAGTCCAAGGCTATCTTCAACCTACTCGCCGAGTTGTTCTTCCAACTCGTCGAGTTCCAAGCCATCTGCAAGCAACTCGTCGAGTCTACCCATGTAACTCGCCGAGTACCACCGTTCTGAATCCATTCAGAAGCACTCCAGGCCATGCAATTGATCCAAAACATAGATCTAGCCTCCTACAACCCATCCATCACGTAAAGTGGCAAACTTTACGTGAATCCAAAGAGATCTAAGCCGTTTGCACATTGGGCTAGGATTTGGGACAAGATGACTCCATCAACCACTCACAAACAGGGACTTTCATGCACTCTAGACCTTCTCCCTTCCAGATCTGAGGTAGCAACCTCAGATCTAACCTCTAAACTCCAATACATCCAAAGATATGATCTCCAACATCCCCAAAATGATGCATCTAAGAAATAGCAGCTAAAAAAACGAGATATTACCTCAAAGGAATGCCCTAATTGAAATGAGACTCGAATTCAAACAAAGCCCCTTGCTCCAAGCCTTCAATCTCCCAAAATTCCTTCACAAATACATTCTCCAAGCTCCACTCCATCCAACAATGGTGCTTCTTCGTGATTTAGGGGTTTCTGGGGCTCAAGGGGTGATAAAGAGGCTGGGAGGGAAACATAAT